ATGGTACACGCTTGCATGTTTACTTAGTGAACTGAACAAATTGTTTACAAGAAATTTAGAACCGAAGAATCAATTTCCACCGCAAGAATGGGCGTTGATAAGTTTTCGTTACGTTGTTATGTGTACGAGAATTAATAATTGCACGTAATACATCAAGTTTTAGTAAAATATCAAAGTGTGAAGATTCGAGTAAAAAAAGCTCGGCACGGAACGTGTTAACTTTACATTTATCGTATAGGATATATCAAATTTCTTTATTTAAATTCGATTAATCATTTATTTATTAAAATTGGAGGGATCTATAAAAGTCTGCACTCTGAAAGATTTATTCTCTACCCGCTAAACTACGATTTCTTCCACAACTGCGTTGACCAACGCTTCTTCGTTCTTAATAATTTTCTTGATAGAACGGGCAATTTTTGTTTCGATTTGAGAGACACGAATAACATTCATATCTAATAGAACACGTAAGAGTTGACGAACTTTGTTTCACATCAGAAATCTCTTGGGGTTTCTCTTCACATCGGAAATCAGGGGTTGTTACGAACCACTCGTTCACTGTAGAGAGGAGTCAGATCTGAGACGAAATTAAACAATAATTGTAAGTTACCAAAGCTCTGTTACCATTAGACGAAATTGAAGAAAAGCATCTCCAGATGGCGCGATACAATCTCAATACCATTAACACGTTCCGTGCCACGTGTACCATCGATGGTACACGCTTGCATGTTTACTTAGTGAACTGAACAAATTGTTTACAAGAAATTTAGAACCGAAGAATCAATTTCCACCGCAAGAATGAGCGTTGATAAGTTTTTGTTACGTTGTTATGTGTACGAGAATTAATAATTGCACGTAATACATCAAGTTTTAGTAAAATATCAAAGTGTGAAGATTCGAGTAAAAAAAGCTCGGCACGGAACGTGTTAAAAGGCATCACGAACAATGGCAGTGTCGACAAAGTGTTACAAAAGTCACCTTAGAAAGAGTCCCCAAAGTTTCCTCTAAATTCGAAAAAAACGTGACTCCATGGCGCTAATATCTCACCGTCCTGTGTGGCGTCTATTGTTACAGGGATCCTGAAGAAGTGGCAGCTGATCTTCTATGGAACAGCGAAGAACCCGATCCGCACACGACAATTTAACCCGGTACACGCCCAATCTTCGTACGCCTCCGAGCATTATCCATTCCAAGTAGCCGATGCTCCATTATCGCTGGGCCATCGCGGCGACGTCGACTTCTTTCCTCCGTCTACCTTTCAGGGCTACCAGGGCCCGTACGTCGGCGCCGGTTCCAGCGTCCAGGCGTCCGTGGCTACTCTGGACGGCTCCTCGGCACCTATCCTGACTAATCGGCTTCCCGGGGACACGTCCTCTGCGTTCGAGTCGCCATCGTCCTCGTCACAAGTCGGCGACGACTCGCTGGACTCCACCAAAAAGATCTTGCACGACTGCGATCCTCAGTGCGACCCCCAGGGATGTTACGGGAAAGGGCCGATCCAGTGTATTGCTTGTAAAAATTACCGGCTCGACAAGTAAGTTGTTCTTAATCCCCGGAAACTTCGTACCTGTCCGTATGTTTCAGTTTGTCTTGGCTTGGTCGACTAAATTTCTCTTTGTCCTAGTAGCTGCTTCTTTGTTTCAAAGTTTACTTTATCTCAATATTATTTGTCTCAATATCTATTATTGACTCTATCTATTATTTGACTCTATTATCTCAATTATTTGACTCGATTTTTGTTCGCTGAGTGATCGATTGTTTGTCTTTGTTTTCGTTTGCCTGATAGTCTATACATTTGTTCGCCGAGTCGTCAATTCTGTGACTTCGTTTCTGTTTGTCTGATAGCTTTTTTGTTTGTTAGACTCAATGTTCATTTGCTCAGTGATTGGTAGTTTGACTCACCTTTTGTTTGTTTGTCAGTCTACTTGTCTCTTTGCTGAATAGTGCGTTTTATTTATTTATTTATTTCCGAGTTCATTTGTTTGCGTATGTATTTGCTGAGTGGTTGATCGTTTGACTTAGCTTCTGTTCGTCTAATAATCTTGTTTGTTTGACTCAATGTAATCTGAACATTCGTTCGACGATGATTGCTTCTTTGCTTAAGTTAGTTATTTCTATGAGGGTATACCTGCCTGACCGTTTCTGCAAGCGTGTGTATCTGTTTGCGCGTAACTTAAAACGGATCTATGTTATCTTCAGCCCATAAATACTCGCGTACACGTTAGTCGAGTGTTTATCGGTCTGAGAAATTATTTGCGCCTGTACGTATCCGCATGAAAGTTTGCCGACCTAGTGTTTGATAACGTGTAATAAAATCTGACAGGCATTCGTTTGCAAACGACGTTTAAGCAACCCGTTCGGCGCAGGCGGATATATTTTACAGCATTTTAGCGAGTTTCGGTCTCACGGATCAATACACGGGTGACTGTAACATTTATTTGGAAGCACACCGTCCGCTTCCGATTGAAATTTCGCGAGTTCGGTTCGTTGGATTCTTTCGATTATATTATAAGAACCTGGCTTCCTGCCCTGTAATCAACGCACCAGCGCAATCGCCAACGAATATCCGAATATCCTGCTATGAAACAACGTTGTCGATCGGAAACGGAACACCGGTTCCGTCTCTGCTCTGTGTTCCCTGTTAAACACGATTCCTTCGGATCGATGTTCATCACGAGCTTCTTCCGAACTTCTTTCGAATTCGTGGGGGACGCAACGTTACCGGAAATACTTTGAAAACCCGGCATCCGTCTCTGCTGCCATTTAGTTCGTTTCACGATACATTTCACGATACCATCTGCACGTCCATCGCCGACGTTCGACCCGTTCTTTAGAGCGACGCTTTTTATGTAAAAGCCGCGACAGTGTATTTTGGATTCTCCTCCGGGAGGACGACGATGCAATTTGCAGCGTTTTTCCTCGAGCTGCCGCGGAAATGTATTTTCTCCTTGATTGAACTAATATCCAACGTATGAAACGGGAGAATTCTTCGAAATGTTATGTTCACGAAAAAAATGTGCTGGTTGAATGTAATTTATTCACGGTTTAACATGGAATTCGCAAATCAATGCCTACGTATTCACTATATGTATACTACCAAAAGTCACGTTATCATTACAATTAGCGTTTCTCATTTCATAGACCAGTTTAACACTACCGTTTCGGTGGAAATCACCAGTTCCGCATTACGTATTTGGACATTGTTGCGATTATAAAAAGTCTTTCGTTGGGAATGATTGAATAAATTTTTTAATTCAACCACACATTATACAAAGATTGTGTCCAAATAAGTATAAATAAATTCAGACTGACCATTTTTATAAAACAACAAGCACTTTTAGTGTACGGTAGGTTCACTGTTAGGCTTAAAACACGAAGCTACCGGTTCGTCTACATCCAAATTCCGCCATTTCGTATTAAAAGAATTATCGTGTTCGCCATTCGGTGCATCGTTTCCAGCATATTCCGAGCTAGTTTTTATCGATGAATTCGAAGAAATCCAACGCGTGCGACCGATCCGAATCGGAGATGGAAAAATCAAAGGGGCCGTTGACGGGATCGAAACATCTTTTTCGTCGTATTGGAACCCAGTGTATCGGTTTAATTAAACCGCGGCTTAATCCGTCGTTCATTCGGCCAGACGAGCGGCCGCCTTGTTCCATGCGCGTAATAATGTGTCGGATATATTTTTCCCGACACGGCTGAATGAGAAACTTGAACTGTTAATTCCGCAAGATTAAAGCAATTGCAGCGTGCACGCCGCAGTGCACCGGGGTCGCTGTGTATCCGCGACAATTGGAACTCCGGCTGCAATAGAAAATGAAGCTATTCTTTCTATCCTCGCTCATTCACCGGCCGGAATTGGTTGTTCCGTAATTGATGGCGCTTTAACATTCGCTGTGCTTAATGAAAAGCCAAAGTGGACCGCGGAAGGAAAGCCGACGTCGGGTTGCGATAAAAACCGCGTATGGGGAGATCAAGAAAATTCAATCGAACGACAACAATGCACAGTTCATTTTGCACCACTGCCTCGATAATCGCTCGCTCCTCTCGCTGAATACCTCGATGATTTCTGAGCGACCTTAATGGGAACCAGCCGTGCCGGACTAAATGATCGGTTTCCTATTTTCTATTTAAAAACTGTTGAGGTTACGAAGATTCTTTCGTACGAAATAATTGAATGAATTTCTTAGTTCAAGCGCGTATTTTAATAAACATGGCAGGAAGTTGAAATAAATACAGCATTGTCATTTTTATAAAACAACATACGTTTAGTCACTTTGGGAGCTCGGTAGGCTTAGTGTTGTTGAATAGGTGTTGTAATGTAGAATAATTCTTTTTATCCATGTATACGGGTGAAAAATCTTTTGTTACAAGAAAGAGATTTTATATAGCCGTCGCACGAGTATAATAAAAATAGAAATAAAAATTAATGGATATAATGGTATAATGCAAAAGGTAAGAAGAAAAAGTAAAAAATAGTGTAGTATATACATATATAATAAATATGTGATATAATAAATATATGCATAGTACAGGAAATGTAATAGATGAAAGATTATCAGACACACAAGTTCCACCGTTCTCAAAATAAAAATACAAAAAAGAATTAATAAAACAGCGAGAATAAAAAATTAAAAAAAATTATTAGGTTCTAAAATGATGAACAGTACACGCTGTGAAAATAATTCAGAACGAGTCCATAGCTATTCGCATTAACTATTAGACGATAACTGTAAAAACGAGCCGCAAGACTCTAATAATCGTATCTCGCCTTCCTAAATTGTCCATTTTTGTGTACAATCTGAGCGTCAATTAGGGAGAATTTACTGTATTTAGGTGAAGTTCGGACAGAAAAATAGAGGTATGCTTAAGTGAGCGAGACGGTGCATAAAAATCAAGTTTTTCCGAGCTATCAGGCCAGTTGACACGACTATTGACGTTTCTGTGAATAAATAGTAAGTCTGCAAGAATACGTTCGTGATCGAATCTTTGAATTCTCAACCTGGTCAAGCGGCAGGTGCCGATTCTGCTGGGAATTGTTGTCTGAAAAGATTGAAATTTCAGCACCTGCGTGAGCCGATGCCCGCCGAGAAGCTTTCCCAATCAAGGTGGAGTCTGCTGGCCGTGTCACGAATCCTGCGAGATCTGCGCCGGAGCTGGACAGGACTCTTGCCTCTCCTGCGCACCTGCTCATCTCCGTGTCACCGACCTGGCCGTTTGTCTGCAACAGTGTCCCGAAGGATATTACGAGAGTAAGCTGAGGGACTCGGATATAATGGAAGCTTCTTACGCGGCTTTGTAGATTTTTCACAGTCTCCTTCGTCGTTCTCGATTCTCAAAAATTTATTTCCCGAGAAAACTAGATATTTCGCAAGTTCGGCCATATTTTACGTCGCCGCTGCAAATGATACAGGAATATTTCTCGCGAGAAAAAATTCTACAGACTCTCCCGAGTAAAATATATTCTCGTAACGTTGCGCCGCGCTGTAACGCGTTTAAATAATGTTTGAAGTCGGCGGAGTGCCCTACAATTACTGGTATTTCTCAATTTATCTCGCAACCTGAGGAGCTGAGGAAAAATCTAGTTAGACTATGAGAAGCGGCAGACTTTTTTCATGAAGAAACGACTGAGAAAAGCCGCGACGAAAATTGTCCGCCAAATTGGAAAAATAGAATATGCATTAATCCTTATTGCACGGATCCTCGAGTCGTTGCTTGGTCCACTTTAAAAATTATTCAAACTACTAGATTACACACGCATAATTCAACGAAAGTATATATCATTGTGTTCGCCAGAGTCCAAGAAATCATTTGTCGCTAGAAATATCCGCTTAGCTTTTTCCATCGAATCACAAAAAATTCTCAAACTCAAAAATCGAATTATCTTCTTCGATATAAAGTGTTCCATGAAATAAATGCGATAATGGACTTCGCCAGCATTGTTAGCGGAATGATAGAAGTCTCCAGGAGTTTAAAAACGTATGCTGGCGTTTTCAGACACGGAGAACAGTACCTGCGTGCCCTGCGAGGCGAACTGCGCTAGCTGCCAGGACAGGCCGGACAAGTGCACCAGTTGCGAGCATCACCTGGTAATGTTCGAAAATAAGTGTTACGCGGCCTGTCCCCTGTACACCTACGAGACGCAGGATTACAACTGCGCGCCCTGCCACACATCCTGTGAAACCTGCAACGGCACCGCCGGCCACCAATGCATCTCCTGCCGAGCCGGATTGTTTTCTCTGAACGGTAAGTACCCGTTGCAGACAGTAATCCTATAGAAGTATAGACCGTGGCAGCTCCTACTGCTGATAGCCTGAGTAATCTGTTTCCCACGAAAAGTCTCTTCCTGTTGATCGCCGACCGACTGGTAACACGATTTTTGTTGCCGGATTGGTTGCGCCGAAATTGAACAGAACACGAGAATCCTGTAATGGCATTTAGTTTGCTTTCATTGACAATGGGAAGCTACATTGTGTCTTTCGGATCTATGACGGTCCTTATCGGACTCCTCTGCAATCATGCCGTTTACCTTGAAAACAAGATTTGAATTCTGTAGTTAGATCCTTTTTAGCCCTTTCGCTACTACGGGCCACTATAGTGGCCCTCCATAAGATGCCACTGAGGTACTACGGGCCACTATAGTGGCCTTTCGTATGATGCCACTGAGGTACTACGGGCCACTATAGTGGCCTTTCATAAGATGCCACTGAGGTACTATGGGCCACTATAGTGGCCTTCCATAAGATGCATTATATTGCATAATGTTTTATTTCCTCTCATACTGTAAATTAAAGAGCGCATGCTAAGACGTTATAAATACCCTGGAATACCCTTTATTTATAAATACCCTTTGGAGAGAAATTTTTTCGTACGAAAACATTCAAGCAGCTTGGGTTCTCCGCCGCGGTACTCCCGCTGACGATCGGCGTCGCGTAGCGTGCAGTGATGTCGCGGCGCTCCGTTCAGCGGAAGTACCGCGGTGGAGAACCCGCCCGTAGCGAAAGGGTTAATGG